AGAAGAAGAAGAAGAAGAAGAGAAAAGACACACTAATGTTTTATTGCTCCCCCTCCTCCACAGTCTTCATCTTCTGTCAGTGGAATCCACATGTACTCACAGTACGTGCGGATTGGCAGCTGTATACCAGACACGTGCAGAGAGGGGGAACTCACGCAGCTCGTCACACAGGGTAACTATGCTAGTGGTTGGCGGGTGCTCTGGTGTGGTTTGCTTCTTTTTTCCTATCAAACATCTAGCATCCTGATGTGTCCTTCGTTTTTGTTTTTGTTACTCTCTTGTAGCACCCCAAATCTTCGGCACTTAAAATAATATGACCTCGTTGTGTCGCAAGTACGGTAAAACTCGTACTAAAAGGTAGTTGCAGTTGTCACTGTGGTTATTTTACGCTTCCCGCTGACTTCAATTGCAAATATCTCGACTCATATTTTAGACACAAGTGTATCTTTTTCATCAAAGTCAAGACAACTGACCAGGCTTTAAGATTATATCATTAATTTCATTATAGTCAAACAGTGACGATTGCCTCGCCAAGCCGTGTCGTGATTCATTTTATTTGTCTAGTTGACTGTCAACCCTCAAACATATACTAATCAACAAACACCTGGGTTTGGATATACCTAGTTTTCTCAAAGCGTTGAAAGCACTTAATTATTTCTCAGTGAAGTAAGAAATATGCTGGTTGATAATTCTGTGCAGAGCATAGAGGAAGAAATCTGTTTGGAATATAATTTATTCTCTTTTACAATTCCGTTTCAAGAAACAGCAGAGTATATCATCAACCTTTTACGGCAATGGAACATAAGAGTCAGAGCCGTGCTAAAAACTCATAGCCTTCCATTTAATAACAATCTTTATCGGTCGAAATGAATAATTCACCTTTATGAAATTGAAAATGAACTTCACGTTTTTTTATTGTCCTAATTTTATCCATCAAAGAAAATTGTTAATTCCTTCCAGCCTTCCTCGGCCCAGTGACAAGTATTCAATGTGTGACCGATGTTAAGAGATAATATGTGCACAATCTGTACTTTTTCATTTTGCAAACTTTATATAACAAATGAGTGTTTTATATGATGTGATGGGGGCCAACAGCATTATACACCGATTAAACTCACTTACTTACTGAATCAACAAATAATGAACAAACAAGCCATTTCCTCAGTCTTGGAGATGGTCAACATGACGTCACAGCTGTCCCCTGGCCCCATGGAGTGCCGAGATGACCACAGGGGAGGCTCAACCTTCACCACTCTGGCCGCGTGAGTTCACACATTTTGGTGGGGGTTCAATCTTTTTTTTTCCCTTTTTTTTCAGTTTCGTCGACGTGCGTTGAAAGAGACGTAATAGAAAAAAATCATATTAATGATTTTTTAAAAATTGTATTTAGATATTACTCTACCCAATACGAGTATAAGCTTTGAGCGCTTTACATCAATCACATGATCACTAAGCTATTCACATAAGATAAACAATTTATTGCGGAAGTTGTGGTGGTTGATCATGATTTATCCTGAGAAAATGCCAAGTTGTAATAACGAGTTTCAACGAGTGATTACAACTGGCAGTTTCACAAGTAGGATAAATTATGGTCTACCGCCATAACGAGTGTTATAGATTTTTTATACCATACAGATATCAGCTGGCGAAATACATCCGAACCAATAAATTTCAAATGACCAACCAATTCGACATGAGGATCCATTCTAGAGTCTCTCATGAAAACAACATTTTCATGCTTGTCTGAGTCAGAGTGAGGATTGGAAAAAATCTGGATTGTTTTCCCTTACTCTTAGCCTCGCCAATTTTACATGTTTCCCCATCCGTGTGTCTCCCTCCGCGAAATAAACCCCTAATGAAACAATTATAACGTAAATATAAGTAGAAACGTACAATTCAAAAGTTGGAAAAAACTGCATTAATATGGCATGTTGTCGTTAAAATAGAGATGACTTTGACTTTGATTTTAAACTTCGAAACCAAATCAAAACCAAAAGGCAAGTAGTTGTTCGCTCCCGCATTGCATTCCAATGCTCAACGGTGAAAAAAAAGGCTTTTAGCAACGACAGGTGTCACGTTATTTGGAAATTAATGTATTAATTCCAAATATGTAAATAGGTTTTGTTTGTCAGGTCAGGTTTTTAGCAGAATTCACCTAGATTTATTCGATTTCACGTATTCTTGATTTTTTTCAGGGGAGGTAAGAATAACAATATAACAAGGGAAGTAACTTTTTATTATATACAGAAAAGTAATTAATCAAATGTGCTTTACTTGTATAATGTCTAATATCATATTTTTTCACAACATATTGTTTTAAATTTCAATTTTCTTTCATTTCTATAGTTGATTGTTTAATATGGAGTAATAGATTTAATGTAAACGAATATTCAAAAGCTAATGCAATCAAACTATACAGTGGGTTTTTTTCAATTGTTTGATAAATTGACTTCCATTTCTAAATAAGGTAATCATTTGATGATCTTTTATTCTAACGTATTATGTAGATCTACAAAGGGATGTCTGCTATCATTTTGTTGTCGCATTTGCCCACTGTCCACCCACTGTGTTTTTCTGGTGTGCTCCTACAATGTCTGCACGGAAGAAAGCAATTCCCAAACGTCAGTTGTGCTAATTAAGTTGAAAGAGGGCGGTTTAGTTTGACCTGATAAGTCACATGTGATGACACATTAGAACAGAGAAAATGATGTTATTAATGAACTGAACGTAACAGCACCACACTCTGACGTAATCTCGTGTCATTATGGTGCCCACCATTTGACTCAATTTGGAACAAAATTAAGGGCAACATAGAAAGGTTTGCACGTACTCTCGACTATAGCAGATAGCAAAACTGGGGAGGCTAGTGTTTGGCACTCTTTTTGGGTGCCCATGGTGAGCGCACTTCGCTCAAAGTTTTTAATGAGAGCAAAGAGCGGCTGCCGCAACATTGCACGGTTTGGGAATATAATGATTCAAGTCTAGATCAATACTTTGCTTACAGAGAGATAGAAGTAGAAGGCGAATATAGTGAGCGGAGCCCGTTTGAAATATCAGCTTAATCTTAAATTTCACATGTGAAATACAAGGACTTACTTTACCGGAAGTGCAATGCTAAAAGAACCCTTTTAAGGTATCAAAAAATATTTCACAATAACAAGAAAAACTGGTTCAACCTGTAAAGAAAAACTTCCACAACCATACATTAATTATATACACGTAAGGACAGCAGTAAAACCAGAACATATTATTACCAGCACTTACTAACACAAAATGGCTAGGAATTAAATAAATGAGTCTTGAGCTATCGCTTAAACGTGTTAAGATTTGTTATTTCTCTGAGATCCTGGGCAAGGAATTCCAGTTTTTAGGGCCAAAAATATGAGAAATTTTTCTCACCTTAAGTTGAATCTGTCCACAGTGATGTGGTCACTCAAGATCAGAAATAAAACGTTCCTATATTGTGAATATACACTGTTATGGTCCTTGTAATTGTATTGTCTCAAACACATTTTTTGTGTAGGCACTGTTGGCGAAAGAGGGGCGGTTTACAGGAGGAGAAGAAGAGATGCGGATGGGAGAGAGAGAGAGAGAGAGAGAGAGAGAGAGAGAGAGAGAGAGAGAGAGAGAGAGAGAGAGAGACAGATAGATAGACAGACAGACAGACAGACAGACAGACAGAT